ACAAGTTAGCTCCACTGGGGGCTCACTTTTATATATGTCAATACAATGTGTTACTAGGCCCTTGTTCCTTCCATAAAGCCAGTGATTTCCAGAAGTTCCAAAGATCAAAATAGACATCACTAAGAAGTTCAAAGGAGACTACCCTGGTTTAATCTTGGCAGCACCTACATCTTCAGTTATCAGTATGCAGCCACCAAATAACAGCCCTGGAGAAAAGGTGTGTTAAGTCACAGATTCTTGGCTTAATTTTTTTCTGTCATTTTAGTAAAGGACATATCGCACAATTTCTAGGATATCTAAGGATATCCTAGATATCCTTAGTACAAGTCACCCAAGTCACATGGATGCCTGAACTGAACAGTAAGGAATCAAGGTTACTACTGCCTATTTCTCATGGCACTACATGGTCCCTCATCTCTGCTTCTTATTTCCACTCTGCTTTCTTGTGCTTACTCATAGCTTTATGGCTATTCTATAATTTCATCTTGCATATGGCTTTAATTATCACCCTGATTTCTGACCTTACTCCATGGCTGCCTACCCCCAACTCCTGACTTCGCTTTGTGGGGCCCATCCTTACTTTTCTGTATCCCTGCATAACTGAGAGTAGGAAGGTGTGACTGTTCTTTTATCCTCCCAGTTGTGTGTGATGTGTATGTGCATGTTTGTGTGTCTGTAATAGAGATATCTGATATCTGTGGTGGATGTTGCTAGCAATCATTTCATCGATAGTGACTGATTTTGTTAAGGCTCTGGCTGTATGATGTTGAGCAAATGACTTTTGAGCCTCAATTTTCTTCCTCTATAGTATGTGGATAATACCTAATGAAAGAACTATTTAAAGGACCAAATGAACTAATGTGTGAAAAGCAGCCAGCAAAGTGTCAGGCATATGGCTGGTACTATTAAAGGTAATTTTCTTCTCTCTCCTTTCTCTCCCTGCCCTGAAGGCCAAACCCCAAGACTATATAAGTACTGCACAGCAGGATCAGATTCTAACACATTGATTGTAAACTTGGATTTTTCTGGACAAGCTTTAATACCTCCTTTTAAGAAGATTAATCTCCTTTAGGTCTCTTAAAGGGGCTAGAAGATCGAGCAGTTAGGGAAAAGGAGAGAAAGACAAATTTTTCTGGGTTTCAATGCAAAAAGGAAATCAAGACTAATCCTAATATTAATAGCTTGTCTCCCATGGCTTTAGCCCACAAAGCTCGCAATATCGCTTGAGTCCTTCATAGGGTCAATGCCAGTCTAAGGCCCTGACTGAGGTATCCATTTTGGAGCAACTCCTACTAAGGCAAGCAAAGAGTTGGGCCAATATCTGGGCATTGGCTGTCTGGTTAGCTCAGTTGGTTAGCACGCAGCCTTATAAACACTAAGGTCATGGGTTCAAAACCCCATACCAGCCAGCTGCAAAACAACATATATATATCTGGACTTTTAGACCTCCTAAGAGGTCTGCTTCCTTAGGCTTAGACCAGCTGACACTGTAAAAGAAGAAGGAAACTTTAGCTCACTATTCAGTACCAAAGGCCAGTACCACAGTCACAATACTCAGATTAAACTCTGATCTCGTTCTAAACAAAAAATCCGATACATTTTGAATGACAACGTTCAAGAGATTCTTTGGAACATTCATCTATCGTATTGCATGCAGAAGTAGATAAAATAGAAACTTCTAAAACATGTTTACAGTTCAGTTACTAAACTTCTTGTCAAAGAAAGTACAAATTTTCTTCTCTTCACAATTCTCCCTATAGGTTTTCTGCTTAGCCAACTGCAGAAATCCTTGTCTCTTCTTTCACTACTGATGGACTAAATTATTTCTGCTATCTGTCATTACATCTCCTTTTCTTCCATTCACCAAGCATACAGTGAATACCCTACTATTCCAGGTAGGTATCCATTCTCCAAGAATTTGGGTAGGAGATACTAACATGTAAACAACTAATAAGTGTGACTTAGTAGAAAACATGAAGTTTTCTACACAAAGAACACAAGGTAGAATATGTTAACTTCCATAGGTGAAATGTACCAAAGGACGGCTAAAACAGTCCTTTCTTGAAGTTGTGTCTCCTAGGTTTACTCTTTCCTTTCCATTCCCTAAAGAGTCATCATTTTATAACCAGACTGCTTAACCTCAAAAGAATTTCTTTTCCATGCAGAATGGTCTATGTCCCCCTGCCATGTTGCATCATTGTTCATTTCATATAAGATTATTCTGTTTAAAGATCTGTAACTCCTTGCTCAGCTTTCAAGGCATTGTACTAGCTGCAACTTATTACCAACCTATTCGTCCCATTTCCCACAACTTCTCAAAAACCTCTACTATTCCAGCCAGGAATAAAGAATCTCCTTCAAGTATCATTCTGATTTGCCCTGCTGTAGCTTTATTCTTTTTCCAGTATACTGAAATTTATCAGTTTTCAGAATATGTCCTTTGATTCTAACAACTCTGAGAGGTGAAGGTAGATGAGGGGAGGGAAGAGATAAGTGTCTCTTAAACAGATCTTGGGATGAGGAGGTAGTCTGGGCTGAGGCTCTGTATCATTCTCAATTACAGCAGGCTCTGGGAAAGTCCCATTTGGTAGAGCTTCTGACCAGCAGCCATAGCCATATCACCAACTTCAGGGACATACCACTCATTACACTTGCCAGGTGTGGGAATAGCTGACAGGTAGTGGCAAGATGAGCCACAAATAAGTTACAGCAGCCAGGTTGAGGCTACCTTTGGTGCAAAACTGTTTGCCTATCCAGACACCAAAAGCTACAATTCTATTTGATAATAGTAAGGAAGCACTGTTAGTTTTTTTAGTTGTGACAATGATATTAAGGTGTTTGTTTTTTTTAAAAAAAAACAGAGTCCTTATATTTTAGAGATATATACTGAAATATTTACAGAAGAAATTATAAAATAACAACTTGCTTTAAAATAATCTGGGGTGATGGTGTGGAGATGAGTGGTGGCCATGAGTTGATAATTGCTGAAACTGTGTAATGGATACATGGGAGTTCATCATATTACTTTCTCTTTTATATTTGTGTGAAATTTCCGACCATAAATAGTATTTTTTTTAAAAAGTCATGATTTCTATCACTGTTGTATCCCCTCCCAGCACATCAAGGTCAGGACCTATTTCACATGGCTTCATTTTCATTCTGGAGTAAAAAATAAACATTTCAATGGCCAAGAGTTCATTTTTGGAATATGAATAGCCCAGACTGGTAACTAGAAAATAAGTCTCAGATCACTCTCTAAATCTTAGCAGCAAGTTTCCTTGCTTATCTAAAAAGCAAGGTCTCCACAATTCATGGTGGAGCTTAGGCTGTAAGTTCCATGAGGGCAAAGCCATATCTGCTTATTCACCATTGATCCCATGGTTGATCTAGCACAATGCCTGCTTCCTAACAGATGCTTAATAAATATGTGTTGATGGAATGAAAAACAGAACAAGTCAGAGGAAAGCAGGGTAACAGTATCCTGGGGAGGGAAAATAGAGAAACCACAATTTTTGGGAAAGCTTTCTGGGAGTCCAAATAATTCATTTTACCATTGGCTCTCTGTGGGCCTTTCTGTAGGAATTCAGCAGGTGTTGTGGGGGGTGAGGGTTAGGATGCTGCAAGAGAGATCATACTGGGCACAGAGGAACATTCCTCCTTTTCCTTGATATTCCTGTATATATCCAAGTCCAGCAGCCAAGGGCAGAGCTAGCATTTAAACTCAGTTTCTAGGGGAGGGTTAGAAAAAAATTAGTAAAGGGTCACAAAAAATGATTACATTGTATAATGCTGAATATACTAATGATCCTGATTGAGCATCACATATTGCACACAGATAATGATATTCAATGTTGTATCGCACAGATATGTACAGCCAATTGTTTCAACAAAATAAACAAACAAACACTCAAAATAAATAAATGAATAAATAAATAAATAAAAATAAATTCAGGTTCTTAGATTCCCTCCTCCAGCTGGTCTGAGGGAACTGGCTGCTGTGATGCCGACTTTCTGGTCCATCAGTGCTATTCAAGGCAGAAACTTATCCAGCAGTCATCAAAGGAAACTGGCTGCTCCCCTTAACTATGCATTTATTAAATCTTTTCCTACCTATTCCTCTGAGGACTCTAGCTGCATTTCTTATCAAAAATCTTGAGATCAACTGCAAAAGGAGGTTTTCTCTCTGGAAACCCAAGTCCTGTGATCTGCCAGACAAAGTCTCTAGAAAGAATTTAATTTAATTATGGGGCCGGCCCCGTGGCTCACTTGGGAGAGTGCGGCGCTGGTAGCGCAGAGGCCGCGGGTTCGGATCCTATATAGGGATGGCCGGTGCGCTCACTAGCTGAGCGTGGTGCGGACCACACTGTGCTGTGGGTTGCAATCCCCTTACTGATCACACACACACAAAAAAAGAATTTAATTATGGCCCACAATTCTGTTCTCAAAGCAAAATCAGAAAAAGTTCCAAATTTTGTTTCTCTGCATTCATGAAAGTTCACTCAGTGAGGTGGGTTTCTTTTCTAACACTGGAGAGAGAATTTCTCTTCTTTTTTTTTCCCCCCTTCTGGGGCAAGTCTCTGGTCCTTTGCTAAGAGGGCCCATCTATAGGATAGTTGCCTAGGGGAAGGACATGTACTTGGAGACAAACAGCATAACAGCTGGAGAGCTCACCCTTGCAGAAGGAGGGAAGAAGAGCCTAGAAGTATGCAGAAAGGCATCATGGGTTACTACAAGTTTTACAAAAATATTTTGCTGGGTTATTATAAAACAAGCCCCAGAAATACAAGCAGGGGACTTTGTGTTAAAGACAAAATAACAGTATGATGACAACATGATTTCATTTCTAAAACAAAGGTGAGGAACATTTATGTAAGCTATATAAAATGCTATTTCTATAAGTTATATAAGTGCTATTTATATAAGCTGATTACCTAACATTATGAAGGCTTAAAACTGTTACCTAAGTTAAAAGAAGTTTGTTAAGCACTGTACTTTCTTACCTATTTTCCATTAGGAAATCCACAACGTATTTTTTCAAGCAGTAGAGATGGGCATCCACAAGGCCTGTGTGGAAATGTATTCTAGGGTGCCTGTAAAAAGAGCAAGAAAGAAGGGGCTCACGATCAGGTAACATGGGTTCCATTCTATTATCAGGCCTACACCCCACTCTGTGGAGACCAGGATGGTGAACACCAGCTCTGATCCTACCACATAAAAGTTTTTCTCTCTAGAAACCAGAGCTCACACTCTATGAGGCTTTCAGGCTTCCCCCAAAATTTGGTGAGACATCAAATCACTGACAATCCACCTTCTATTCTATCACAAACTCCTATTCACAATTTTTGTAACTAACATTTTTCTGCTTCTACCCTAATTGTCCCACTTTCTGTAGTCTACACATTAGCCATGCTTTCTCTTATCTCCAGAGTTTGGTATGTTGTACTCCATCTTCTTAGAAGATGAAGTAGAATTCTATGAATACTCCTAGCTCCCTACTCTTACTTATCCATCAGGACTCACCTCAGATATACTTCCTCCAGGAAGCCCTCACTGACAAACCATCTGTGCTCTCACAACGCTTGGTGCCTACCTCTATCAGATAACTTATACAATAAGGAAATAGCCTATTTACCTGTTTCTCTCTCCCACTAGACTGAAATTCAGCAGAGAGCAGAGATTCATCTTCACAGCAGTGGCTGTGTGAGCACTGTGCCTCACATAGAGTAAATGTCCAATAAATAGTTGTTGAATAAACAAATAAATAAATATTAAGGCATTTGCCTAGTTGCTGTCTATTTTAGTTTGCCATCCTTTCGTTTTCAGCCTTAAAAAAATGCCACACTTGAGGGCCGGCCCGTGGCTCACTTGGGAGAGTG